TGGGTGGATGGACAGGTGATGGATGGATAGGTGGGTGAATGGTGGGTAGGTGGGTGGATGGGTGGATGGGGGAGGGGGGATGGGTGGATGGATGTATGGGTGGGTAGATGGATGTATGGGTGGGTAGATGGGTGGATGGATGGATGGATGGACGGGTGGAAGGCAGACAGACTGGCAACTTGGCCTTCCGCCCTTCAGCTGAGACCTCAGGCTCAAGCTAGCCCACGAGCCAATGGAAGGAGCATGGGGGCACATGGAGGGCTAGCTCCATGCTCACACAGCCCTGCTGGTCACAGCCTGTGGAGAAGGGGGTGTCTGGAAGCCCTGCCTGGGCCAGCACAGGTTCCTTCGGGGTCTCCCCAGGTGGGATGGTGCGTGCTGCCCCTGCTAGGAGCCTGCCGGGAAGGCGGCCACAGGGAAAGGCTGTGTCCAGCAGGCGCTCAGGTCTGACCCCCTCGGTCCCACCAAGGAACTGACTCTGTTGTTTGTTCCCCGCTTTCCTCCCCCTCCCCTCCCCCCTTCCCTCTGTCTCCCCTTCACCAGAGTGTGGCAATTAACTTCTCTGCAACACAGTGTCTGTAGCCAGGACTGAAGCAGACTTCCGGGGCTCCAGAGGTGTCTGCCTTCCCTGTCCCTCCCAGTCACCCCCATGCTGATGTCCAGGGAAGAAACGACCTTGCCTGCTTCTTCCTGCTGGTGGCTGCTGCCCCCTGCTGGCAACCTCGGGAGCTGCTCTTGGGGAGGGACGAGGAGTCCGCAAAGGACCACAAACCCCACAGCTTAAGACAAACCAAAAGCATTACCCTGCGGCTCCGTGGCTGGGATGTCCCGCGTGGGCCTCGCTGGGCTAAAGTCAAGGTGTCAGCAGGGCTGGTTTCCCTGGAGGTCCAGGGCAGCCTGTGCCTAGCCTTGCCCAGCTGTGGGGAGGCCCCTCCAACAAAAACCAAAATACTTTTGAAGGAAACCGAGGATTGAGGATCCGCGGATTCTGGAGGCAGTCCCTCTGCAGGAACCAGAGAGACCAAAGCAAACAGAGAAAGAGGCAGGAAGGTCACCCTGGGAGGGGCTGAGGCGGAGCGGGGAACCCGGAAAGGGAGACGCCCGCAAGGTGCTCGCTCTCCTGTCTGCCTTTCTTGGAAAGGCACCAAGTGAGAGAAAAATACACGAACACAACCCGTCAAAATCGCGACGTGCAGGCCGCGGCGGAGACCTCTGTGGGGCAGCTTGTGAGTGGCCTTCAGTGACTCACGAGCCCCGAGCCCTATAAAAGTCCCCCCTGCACGGGGTCAACACACTGGAACCAGCAGTCCCCCCAGGCCGGAAAGAACCTCACCTCAACCTGCACCTTACCTTAAAGACCAACGTAAAGGGGGTCATGGATTTATGCAATTACACAAGAAAATAGAAAAAAAATGTGGGGGTCTAAGGTTAGTCAAAGAGATCTGAAACTCGCTACCACAATCCATAATGGGAAAAAGCCATCAGTCAGACCTTGTCAAAACAGGGAACTTGCACTGTGGAAAGCCACCGGGAAGACAGAGCCGAGCCACAGAGGTGGAGGCCAGGGGGCCGACTGAGGAAGGAGTGTACCAACAGACCCCATCACAGCACTGGCCTGCAGCTTGTTTGAAAATGTCTTTGAGCCTTGCTTAAAGGCCAGCTGGGTACTTGGAGCCTCTCCCCTCACAAGAGGCTCCTGGTTCACCTGCTGCCTCCCAAGGCTCGCTCTCAGCCTCCTTCCCCCACTCTTCCACGTCCCACTGCCCCTTAGTGGTGGACACCCTGGACTGAGCCACAGGCCAGTTTCTCTGCCTCTCTCATGGATGACCTGATTCTCGTGGTGCTTAAAATACCATTTATCTGCAGAGGACTCCCAAAATTCAATCTCTGGCCCAGATCTCCGTCATAACCCTTGACCTGGGCAGCCCCTGCCAAACAGCTCTGCCGAAAGGTCTGATAGGCACCTTGTGCCCCTAAGCAGCCCTTGCTCTTCCTCCCAAGCCTGCCCCACCCCACCCCTTCCCCGCTTCAGTCCAGGAAGGCACCAGCCTTCAAACCCAGCAAACCCTCCTACTTCCTCTTGGTTACACCCCTGCCCCAAGTCCAAAGAAGACTGGCTGCTGCGTTCTCAAGCTCCTGCTGTGCCTGCACCCCCGGGTCCGGGCACCCCCATCTTTGGTGGGGGTGATTGCAGAGTGTCTTGACTTCTACTGGCTGATCAGAGGGACTCTGTAAAGATGTAATTCAGTGTTCAAAATCCAAAAAGTGGCCAGGCACGGTGGCACACACCTGCGGCTCAGTAGGCCGAGGCAGGAGGATGGTGAGTTCAAAGCCAGCCTCAGCAAAAGTGAGGTGCTAAGCAACTCAGGGAGACCCTGTCTCTAAATAAAATACAAAATTGGGCTGGGGATGTGGCTCAGTGGTCAGGGCCCCTGAGTCCAATCCCCAGTACCCCCTCCAAAAAAAAAAAAAAAATAGCCAAAAAGTGGAAACAAATTAAATCTTCTCCTGAGAGAAATTGTGACTGAGCATGAGTTCAGCCTGTAGGAGGTTCTAAGCTAAACCAGGAAACCGCCGGTCCTCTACCACCAGCAGGCAGATCCACAGACGGAAAGGTCATCGGTGCTGGGCTGGAGCGGGGAGGGCCCCTGACAGAAAGTGCCGGAGGGATTCCTTCTGGTGATGGAAATGCTCCAGGATTAGACCACAAGGAAGACCAAGGGGTGGACTCTATGACCTGGATTTTAACCCCACTCAAAAAACGTCAGGGTAGCTCAGTTGGTCTCACCCCTGTCCACACTCTGCAGGGAAACTGAGTCCTGGGCCAAGGCCCCTCCTCACTGACACCCTCCTGGCGCCCACCACCTCTCCCCACAAGGCCTGCCTCTTGCTGCTCCTGGGACCTCAGCCCTGTCCCCCTTGGCTCGTGTCCCACAGGGAGGCCCCCTCTGCCCGCTGGCCACGTTCTCTCCTGTGGCATTGGGAATGGACACCTAGTACCGGCATGTTTCCGGGGTCCGCTGCGCTCGCTGGCAGCTGGAATGGGTGCTCAGAGCAGGGCGAGGAGTGCCCCCACCACCGACGACACCGGTGATGGCTTGTCGCTGGGATGAGGACCCTGCACCTCCTCTCTCGTCATTTCTAACCACAGCCACCCCATGCGCCAACACGGCCCGATTGCCTCCGTGGTCCTCAGCTGACCTGGTGATAGGACCAACCTTTCCCCAGCCCCGACAGAAGGCTCAGGGATGCTCTCGAGAGTAGCCCTAACTGGAAAAGTCGGATATTCACACCTCCGAACCAAAGAGACCTCTCGGTACTGCGCTTTGGGGTTCTCCTCCCCCACACAGAAGACGTCCCCCGGATCCCTACAGAACGCACTTCCAAGCTTGGTGGATGTTGGTGTAGAACGGTAACAGGTCCGTCGTGACGTGGCCTAGCAACCGTACCCCCGGGGGCTCGCGGTTGCCGTCCCAGGACACAGCAGGGCTGCGCCGCGCTCGGCAAACCCGCCACCTCCCAGACTTGCCCGCGCAGGCTCTCAGGGACCCAGCGCGACCCGCAGGGCGCAGGCGCAGAGACCGCCGCCAGCCCAGGTGGAAAAGGCTTCGGCGCGCGCCATACGCATGCGCAAAGCCTAGAGCTCTCGCGAGAAGTTGAGCCGGAAGACTGACGGTGACTTCCGGGTTCGAATCGGAAACCCGAGTGCCGGGGGCTGGGTGGGCGCGGGGCGTGCAGGCTGCTCGCCGGCGCCGCCATGGACCCCTTCCGGGTGCTGCTGCACTCGGTGTCGGCCGACCTGTCCAGCGGCGAGCTGACCGAGCTCAAGTTCCTGTGCCAGGGGCTAGTGGGCAAGAGGAAGCTGGAGCGCGTGCAGCGCGGCCACGAGCTCTTCGAGGTGCTGCTGGAGCAGAAGGACCTGGAGGCCGAGCACACCGGGCTGCTGCGCGACCTGCTGGCCTCGCTGCGGCGCCACGACCTGCTGCAGCGCCTGGACGACTTCGAGGTGGGGGCGGCGGCGGGGGCCGCGCAGGAGGAGGCAGGTGAGTGCGGGGGCCCCGCCGCGGGCGCAGGGCCGGTTCGCCCCTCAGTGGACTCCAAGTCCCTCAGTGGACTCCAAGCTCCTGCTCTTTGCCAGGTGTTCTGGGAACCGCTTTGGGGCAGGGGTGGCAGATGGGCAAACCCAAACCCAGAGGAGTCAGCCCACCCGAGGTGGCAGGGCCTAGATGCCCACCCCTGGCCTGCAGTGTTTTCCCCACCCCACTTTTTCCAGATGAATTAGAAAACTCACTGAAGGAAAAGGACCGTGAGTGACCGGGTGGGGTAGAGTGGAGAAAATGGGCAGAGGTCAGATAGCCTGCTGCATCCGGTCGTCCGCCTCCGGGACCGTGCCCCGCTGACCCCCTTCCTGGCCGTCGGAGACCAACACCACCCCTTGGTAGCTCTGACCCAGTGTTCCCAGGTGCCACCGACGGCACACTTGACTTGTTCCTTTGTGAGTTAGATACTCTTATTTCCCATCTTTCTTGCCATCTTTCAGAGAAGAGGACAGTGGCTCACAAGTGTAAGTTCTTGCCTAAATGCACAGCTGACAGCAGATCTGGGATGCACCTAAGGCCGTCTGGCCTGGGGTGGGAGGTGCAGGCCGAAGTCTGAAACTGGAAGTGCTGTGAGAGCCAAAATGTTTTGAGAAGCCACAAATGGAAATTTTCATGCACAAAGTTATCTACAGTGTTGTATAGAGTTACCTTCAGGTTTACATACGAAGCATAGATATGAAAACAAGAATTTCATGTGTGTACTTGGGTCTTCCCCAAGATACCTCATGACACTTATGCAGGTACTCGGAAATCAGATAAGGTTTTTGCTCTACACTGCCTTTTCGAAGGAGTCCACTCTGAGCAGCCCCTCTTCATTCTCCCCTTTGGCTTGCTGGGGTGCCAGGAGTAAGAGACCAGTGTATACCTAGGGTCCCTCAGCCCCTGGGCCTGGGAGTTTAGTGCTTCAGGGACACCCTGCAGACTACAGGCTGTGGTTAGAATTTCATACACACACAGTGTTGGACAAACAGAAAGGATCAGAAAAAATGATGTTTTCAAGGATATTTAGCAATGAGGAAAGAGTTGATAAAGGACAGCCTTAAAAATAGACTCAGTACCTTTTTAGATGACACGTATATGTCAGTGTTTGATATTAACTGTAGTCTTGTAATTACTGTGTTGGAGGAAATATACCAGGTCGACAGCAGTTCAGAGTGGGTTGATGCTGTGTGTGGTGCACTTTTTCCTACAAAAGGCAGTTTAACATGGTCTCTGGCACAGGGTGACAGGGTTTTGAACCGCAGCTCAGTCAGTTTCTAGCTGTGTGACATCAAGATATTCACTTAACATCCCTGTGCCTTAGTTCCTCGTCTTTCCAAATGATCACAGCAACAAGTGCTTTCAGGGGGCTGGAGGAGTGGGCTCACCTGCTGACAGTGAGAGCAGCTGTCTGGTACTGTCTTGTCCTGCCTGCTCCCCTACACACACACTCCTGAAGCTGCTTATTGGGCTCATAGCGCTTTCTGATCTCAGTAGTGGCTTTGCAGCAGGGAGTGGAGTAGCTTCCAAAATAAGAACTAGGGTGTGCACTGTTGTCCCGGGGCTGCCATGACAGATTTCACAAGCTTGGAGGGTTAAACTGTAGGAATCTATTATCATGTAATCTGGAGGCCAGAAATCTGCAAAGGTCAGGTGTCGGCAGGGGTCACGTCCCTCTGTGGCTCTACCGACCAGTCCCTCCTTGCCTCTCCCAACTTTGGGTGACTCCCAGCATCTTTAATCTGTGGCCTCGTCCCTCCAGCTCTGCCTGCATGGTCACTAGATGTAGGGCCTACCCAGATAATCCAGGTGAACTCTCAAGATGTTCCCTTACATCTGCAAGGATCTTTTTTTCCAAATAACATTTTCAGTTCCAGGGACTTGAGTAGACATAGCTTCAGGAGATTGCCCTTCGACTCGCTGCAGATTAGGACTGGGAACAGCCCCACTTTCTTCTCAGCTCCTCCGCCCCTTGGTTCCCCTGTCCTAAGCAGGCAGCTCTCTGAGTCCCACGGGGGCTGCCTTGGGAATTGAGGTTAATCTCAGGCTCTCTGTGACAGTCCCTGAGCTTCTCGGTGGCTTTCACCTCCGTGCAGGCCTTGTGTGTAGGTGATCTGCCTGCTCAGCACTCGGGTCAGCCCGGAGAATCCTGTGGGGGTCAGGGTGCTCCCCAAACCTCCAGTAAGTCTTGTTCTTTCCCCCCAGATCTGCACGCAGCCTTCAGCATCATATGTGATAATGTGGGGAAAGACTGGAGGAGACTGGCTCGTCACCTTGGAGTTTCTGACGCCAAGATCGATGGAATTGAGGAGCGATACCCCCGCAACCTGGCAGAGCGGGTGCGGGAGTCGCTGAGAGTGTGGAAGAGCAGCGAGCGGGAGAAGGCCACAGTGGCTGGCTTGGTCGAGGCGCTCAGGGCCTGTCGGATGAACCTGGTGGCCGACCTCGTGGAGGAGGAGCAGCTGGCCCGGCAGCTCCAAAACGGGAGTGACGCTGTGTCCCCAGTGCAGTGGGACTCGGACGCTCACACCTCAGAAGCTCCTTGATGGGGCTGCCGTTCTCCTTGGGGACCATGGGAGGGACTTGATTCTCTGTACCATGCCCAGCACTGGGCAGTCCCATCAGGAGCCAGGCAGAGGGCTCCCCCTCAGAGCCACGCTGCAGCTTCACAGTTAAAGCTGCGTTTCCTGAGCCCCTCCTCTGCCAGGCGGGGCCTGGAGTGCGGGTGAGGGAGGGGGCTTCTGCCATCTTCACTCAGCTTTGGGCACAAAGGCACTCGTTCAGATTGAGTCCTACCTGTTCTTCAGGTGAGGAAACGGGCTGGAGGGAGGTCAGAACCGGGACAGCGCATCTGGCTCCGGAGAAGGGCCTTCTAACCAGCGTGTCCCACGGTGACTCCACCGTGGACAAAAGGCACATTTTGTCCCATTCTTTGAGGCGACAGGGTAGACCTGGACACCAGCACGAGGTGCTGTCCTGGTCCAGGAGTCAGGACGCCTGGCTGACTCACAGAGCGGCGACAGCAGGGCTGTGAGGGTGACCACAGTGACGCCTGTGGAGTGCTCCTAGGAACTGGTGCACAGCCGAGCTCCTCCACCGTCAGTCCTCGCAAGGAGCCGGTTCCCGGGTCGCAGGTGGCTGTTCTGTGTCAGAATTACCATCCAGGCGGTCATTGGCCTAGCAAGGGGCAAGACCCTGGGCCTCCAGAGCCCTCCACTGAAGCCAGTGCCTTTACCCGGAGCCCTCCAGGCGCCTCTGGAAACCAGTTGACCCAACTGGAGCCTGTTTCCCGAAGAGGTCACGTCACAAAGAACTCCCACTCCCGACGATGACTTTCTCGTCACGTATTCTGAGGGGTCATTCCAGCTGGTGTCAGCAGCTCGTCCTGGGCTCTCCCTATGGAAATGGCGGCAGGATTATCATAGCTTGCTCACCCCTAGCCAGAGTATTGATCTAAGCCAGAGGTGATCTGCAGAAGGCAGGTCTGCCACCTGTGGGACCTGCCTGCGCCTGCCAGACATGGTTATGGTTCTGGAATGTTGTCCAGGAGTGGTGCTTTTACCAGGAGTGGGTCGGCCAGGCGTGTGGCGGAGGCCGGGTTGGAAGCTGGAGACCAGCCTCAGCAACTGAGCAAGGCTCGAGGCGGCCTAGGAAGACCCTGTCTGGAACTCAGGGGTAGGGCTGCGGCCTGGTGGTTAAGACCCCGAGTTTGAGGCCCAGTACCAAAAAAGAAGAGTGGCACGGATCACGTGGCTTTAACCTCACCAGCGGATTCATCCGTTTAGCGTGTCTAATGGTTCAGGTGTGAAGTGTGCCCCCAAGCTCCTACGTGAGACAGTGCAGGGAAGTTCAGAGGTGAAATACACCTGGTCAGTGAGTTGATCCCCGATAGGGGTTGACTGAGTGGTGACTGTGAGCAGGTCGGGTGTGACAGGACAGGTGGGTCCCTCGAGGTGGGCTTCTCTTTGGTCCTTGGTGAGAGGACTTTCTCTCTGCTTCCTGACTGTCCTCTCCTGAGCTGCCTTCCTCCACCACACTCTTCCACCACGATGTCCTGCCTCACCTCCGCCCAAAGCAGTGGGGTTCGCTGTCTGTGGACTGAGACCTCCTAAACCGTGAGTGCCAAATAAACTTTTCTTCTTCTAAAAACATTCTCGTCCCGTCTTTTGGTCACAGGGCAAAAAAGCTGGACTGAAACACGTTGGTACCGAGAAATGGGTTGTTGCTGTGATTAATGGTTCAGAAGCTTTGGAGCTTTTTGGAATTTGTGGGAGCAATTTGAAAAGTTTAGAGATGCAAACTGGAGAAGTTTTAGATTGTTGTAAGCCAGGCTCAATATGCGGTTCTGGTGGGAGCTCAGAAAACCAGGATGCCAAGAGGCTGCAGGCAGTGAGCCTGCTCAGGAGGCCTCAGAGCAGGAGGAGGACTCTTGGAAATGGGTCTGGAGACCGTTCACAGGACGCCCTGGCTAAGAAGACATCAGCATGTGTTCCACGTCCTGAGACTTGGAGGGGTTGAATTCAGTCTGGCAGTAGAAATCTCTAGGCAGCACAGCTTTCGTGTGGAGGCGTGGGTATTGCCGGCAGCTTCTAGCCAAGTTTATTGTGAGAATCGGGAACAGGAAGCAAAAAGATTTTAAAAACTTGCAGTTTAGCCAGAAAACTTTGAGTAAAACCGAGGTCAAGGAAGGTGTGGTGTTGAACACAATACAGCCGCTAAACACTAAATATTTTACCTAGAAACACTAGGAAAGATGGTTCGAGGGCATCTTAGGAACTGGCAAGATATCACCCATCTGAGGCTCAAGGGTGTAAGAATAGAAATTCCTTTGTTTGGAGACCAATGGACACCCTGCCTGTACAGGGGCCCTGGGAAGTTTTTCAGCAGGCTCAGCCCCCAGCACTCAGGCTGCTGCTGCCAGGATCCCCGGAGGCTCTGCTGCTGCTCGAGGTGGTGGCAGCACGTGGTGCTGGTTATGCAGGATGCAGGATGCTGGCGTTGGGGCCCTGCAGGCTTCTGCTGAGCTGGCACGTGCGAGGCCAGGCAAGGTGCTGAGGTCCCTGTCACTGCGCAGGGACGAGAGGGAGGCTGTGGAAGTAAAGCCAGCGCGGCAGTGAGGACCCCAAGGTAGGCCAGGAGTGGGGACTGTGCTGAGAAAAGCTGCAGGCAGTGGGTAGAGGCAGCCCAGCAGAGTCCCCACAGGCTGCGCCTGCTAAGGCCAGGAGCCGCGCCGCACCGGCCCTGTGGAGCCCACGTCCTGCCGCCACATGCCTGGGTGCCAGGCGTGGACTCCAGGGACTCGCTTGGTCCCCATCTCCCTGCATCCTCACTCTTTTCTTTGCCATTGTGTATGGGGAGCATTTGACACACTTTTGATTTTTTTTTTTTTTACAGGCTCACAGCCGGGAGTCTGCCTTAAATCTCCAAGATGCTGAAACAATTATTAAGAGTGGGGATTCACCAGATGTCGGGGTGCACACCTACAGTCCCAGCAGCTTGGGAGGCTGAGGCAGGAGGAGCGCAATTTAGGGAGGCCTTAAGCAGTTTAATGAGACCCTGTCTTACAAAAAAAAGAAAAAATAAAAAAGGGCTGGGGATGTGGCTTGGTGCTGAAGTGCCCTGGATTAATCCCTGGTCCTAAAAAGAAAAAATAAAGCAAAAAGACCTAGGATTCATGGGAGTAGACTGATGTTGCGTTGTGAGGTGAGCGTGCCCTGTTTTTCAGGGCAGGGAGAGTTACAGTCTGAACCTGGGCTGATCCCAGATGCTTAGGTGTTGAGAGCTTGGTCCGGGGGCAGCAGTGTTCAGAGGTGGGCTCTGACCCCCTGGGTGGAACACTCCGTGTGGTAGATGACGGGGAGGAATGGAACTGTCGGTGGGGGTAGTGGTGGCTTGGGTGGAAGAAGTAGGTCCCTGGAGGTGGGTACTGGGGACTGAGTTTTTTGATGTTTTCTTTTATTTCTTTATTGTACTAGGAATTGGGCCAGGGGCACTCTACCACCGAGCTACATCCCAGCCCTTTTTATTTTTTGAGACAGGGTCTCACTAAGTTGCTTAGGGCCTCACTAGGTTGCTAAGGCTGACCTCAAACCTGGAATCCTCCTGCCTCAGCCTCCCAAGTCACCAATACGACGGGCATGCGCCCTGTGCCTGGCCTCGGAGACGGTGTCCGTCCCTGGCCCCTTGCTCTCGCTTGCTCCCTCCCTGCCTCCCTCCCAGCTGCCCGGAGCTGAGAGCTTTCCCCCACTGTGCCCTCCCGCCATGGTGTGCCCTCCCGCCATGGTGTGCCCTCCCGCCATGGTGTGCCCTCGCGGGGGCAGGTGTTGGGTCAGCGTGGTAAGAAGCTGACGGACACAGGTGGTGCACCCTGCGGTCGCAGCAGTCAGTGAGCCCCTGTCTCAGGACTGAAAGGTGGGAGCACCCCAGGCACAGTGCAAAAAATTTGAAGAAGCTGAGTGGCCATTCTTTGCCCCAGTTGTCCATGTATGACCTGGGGAAGCCACATGTGCCATGCTGTGCCACCTTGGCTTTGGAGGGCTGAGATCTCGGCCAAGGTCCTGCCCCACTAAGCTCTGGGCTCCTGCCCTTGCCCTCCGGGCCCCCCAGGCTGCGTTAGTCCAGGGGAGGAGCAGGACTTTGGAGCAGATCCGGGATCCCTCCTGGCCTTTGGTGACCAGTCTTATGACTTGACTCCACCCAGGATGAGGCGTAAGGTGAGTCCCCACACTCAAGTCCTCTGCTGGGCCACGCTGCTGTCCACACTCCCAGGACGGGGAGGAGATGGGCCAGCTCCTGGCAGCAGAGCAGGGAGCTTAGTGACCTGGGGTGGGCTTGCAGAGACACTGCCCAGGAGGTGGGACTTGGAGCCAGACGGGAGCTTCCCCTTGTGCAGCCACCACCACTGGGTGCTGCAGACACAAGGCTGCACTGAAGGTAGCTGGGCACAAGTCCCCGGGAGGGCGAGTGTTAGGCCCGTGTGGCTCCGTGGCAGAGGCTGGCCTGCCTGCCAGAGGCCGAGGGTCCCTCTCCAGAACGGCCAGGGAAGCCTGGGAGAGTGTTGACGGGTGACGCTGGCTGCTGCGTTTTCATTCTCCAGAGAGTGCTCCACAGGTGGAGAAATTGGTGCCACCTGGCCGGTGTGGGACGGGAGCCATGGAGCGCATGGCCTGTGGTCTGGCCCGGTTCAGGTCCAGGCTCTGCCCTCGGGGGTCCTAAAGGGCCGGCAGTAAATAGCAGTTGCTTCCCACAATCTGTACACCTCGTTTCTCAGACACCTTAAAAACGAGGGGTTGGGGGGCTGAGTTGTGACTCAGCGGTGGCACTTGTCTTGCCTGTAGGAGGCGCTGGGTTCCATCCTCAGTGCCACATAAGGATGATAAAATAAAGGTACTGTGTCCATCTACAATTAAAAATAAAAAAAAATGAGCAGCAGGGCCTCCCCTGACCCCCGTGGTCAGCCTGGGCAGCTCTGCCTGGTTCTTCAGCCCGCGTCCCCCTCCGTCTGCACCAGCCTCTGACCCACCTGCCACCGTGGCTCTTGGGATTACTTTGAGCATCTGAGTGGCCCGGGGTCCTCTCCCCATTTCCACATCCATGACTTTACCCTGCCCCCTCAGGCCGAGCTCACAGGTCCTGGGGCCTGGAGCCTGGGCATCGCTGGGGGCCACCAGGCCTCCCTCCCCCCCGCGCCCAGCCTGTCCCCGACCCCGACCTCACCTGCTGCCACACGGGCCTTCCTCTCCTTGGGCTTACTCGCTTCCCCCTTGGCAGCAGGGACCCTGGACCTGTCCTCATGGTGGCCTTCCCACCACCACCCGGTTCCCAGCAGGGCCTCACCCCTACTCCACCCTTCTCCAGCCTCTGCTGCCCTCCTCAATTCCCGCTCATCCCCTCTGGTGGCCGGGCCGCAGACCCCTGCCTCGTTCCTGGAAGCCCCCGGCTTCCCGTGCACATTCTAGCTTCATGTTCCTCTTTCCACGGTCACTGCCGAGCCATCCGGCTGGCCGCTTTCTGACCACATAGTCCCTTTGTGGACCAAGTTTGGAACCAGATGGTAACTGTGACTAGGGTGGCATCTGCATGTGCCACATGGCCAGCCACCGGAGCCTGCGGTGAAGAGCCATGTCACCTGGGAAGCCTTCCTCTGGAGTCGTGCACTCCGTGGAGACCCTTTGGGGAGTCACAGGTGCCCACCAGAGGAATCGCCACCAGCAACGAGGCCGGGCCAGGGAGGAGTGGAGCCCTCGCCAAGCAGAAAGCCAAGTGACAGGGTAGCAGTGTGTGTGAGTGGCCGCGTGAGCCCCCCGGACTCCAGGCCTGCCGGTGGCACACAGTGGGTACGAGGCTTCGATTCTGTCTCACCAAAGTCAGGTTGTGAGCTGGCACAGGGGCACGCTCCCTTGACCCCAGCACCTCAGGAGCTGAGCAGCAGGTGGAGCGCTTGAGGCCAGCCGGGCAGCTGAGGGAGACCCCAGTCAGATAGAATTAAAAGGCACACGGTTAGCAGGCCCGAGGCCCGGGTGCCGCCCTCTGCACCACAGAGAAGGGGTGCGGCACTCGGGAAAGCCGCGTGGGACTCGAGTGTGCAGAGCTGGGGACCCATGCAGAGAGCAGGAGGGGCCGCGCCCTGTGCTCAGTCGTGTCAGCTGACACCTTCCACAGGCTCCCTCTGCTGCTGCGTGGCCTTGTTGGGGACCGATGGTTGGCGAGGGCTGGAGGCCTACACCTCCTGGTGTGTCTGCGGTAGTGAGGTGTCACCATTAACAAGCACCTGGTCGTCACCAGAAGCTGGGACCATGCTGCTCCTTCCAAAGGGCTTCTGGCTGGAGGAGCCGGGCCGCCCAGGCCCTGCGTCCACCCAGATGAGACCCTCGGCCAAGCCCAGCCCTGTCTCAAGATGCCGCTGTGGCGCTAGCCTTGCCCACCCTGCCCAGCTTGAGGCCCTGGGGCCGTGCCCAGCGCTGCAGCAGCCGGGGGAAGGCGCTCTGACTTAGTGAGGTTCAGCTGCTGGTAAAAAGGTCCTCGGACGCTGGGGCTGAGCTCCCTTCAGGCAGGAAGAGCAAATGGTGCCAGCTTTCGCTCCTGGCCAGGAGGGCTGGCCCGAGCACATCCCACAGTGTCTTGGTCCCCAGGGACCACAGTGGCCAGGTCC